TCTATTGTCCGAATGCTGTAAGTGGATTCACCTGTGATTTGTGTATTGAACTAACGTGTCAATAAACTCGTGAAATGTGCCGCTGGTGTTAACCGTTGTTAGACGTTGTGTGACCATGAAGAGGATCATGTCTGCGTTGATTGAGTTGTGAACCTCTAGATATTAGAGCCAGTGTTAACTCTGCACCACAGATAGTCAGTGTGGAGGAGACACAAAAGGGCAGTCATTACAACTGGTATTGTCTGTGTTGTAGGTGAACACTGTTATTGTCTGTGTTGTAGGTGAACACTGGTATTGTCTGTGTTGTAGGTGAACACTGGTATTGTCTGTGTTGTAGGTGAACACTGTTATTGTCTGTGTTGTAGGTGAACACTGGTATTGTCTGTGTTGTAGGTGAACACTTGTATTGTCTGTGTTGTAGGTGAACACTGGTATTGTCTGTGTTGTAGGTGAACACTGGTATTGTCTGTGTTGTAGGTGAACACTGTTATTGTCTGTGTTGTAGGTGAACACTGTTATTGTCTGTGTTGTAGGTGAACACTTGTATTGTCTGTGTTGCAGGTGAACACTGGTATTGTCTGTGTTGTAGGTGAACACTGGTATTGTCTGTGTTGTAGGTGAACACTTGTATTGTCTGTGTTGTAGGTGAACACTTGTATTGTCTGTGTTGTAGGTGAACACTGGTATTGTCTGTGTTGCAGGTGAACACTTGTATTGTCTGTGTTGTAGGTGAACACTGGTATTGTCTGTGTTGTAGGTGAACACTTGTATTGTCTGTGTTGCAGGTGAACACTTGTATTGTCTGTGTTGCAGGTGAACACTGGTATTGTCTGTGTTGTAGGTAAACACTTGTATTGTCTGTGTTGTAGGTAAACACTTGTATTGTCTGTGTTGCAGGTGAACACTTGTATTGTCTGTGTTGCAGGTGAACACTTGTATTGTCTGTGTTGCAGGTGAACATTTGTATTGTCTGTGTTGCAGGTGAACATTTGTATTGTCTGTGTTGCAGGTGAACACTTGTCTGTATTGCAGGTGAACACTTGTATTGTCTGTGTTGCAGGTCAACAATTTTATTGTCTGTGTTGCAGATCAACACTTGAATTGTCTGTGTTGCAGATCAACACTTGTATTGTCTGTGTTGCAGGTGAACATTTGTATTGTCTGTGTTTCAGGTAAACATTTGTATTGTCTGTGTTGCAGGTGAACACTTGTCTGTATTGCAGGTGAACACTGGTATTGTCTGTGTTGCAGGTCAACACTTGTATTGTCTGTGTTGCAGGTCAACACTTGTATTGTCTGTGTTGCAGGTGAATACTTGTATTGTCTGTGTTGCAGCTGAACACTTGTATTGTCTTGTGTTGCAGGTGAACACTGTTATTGTCTGTGTTGCAGGTCAACACTTGTATTGTCTGTGTTGCAGGTGAACACTTGTATTGTTTGTGTTGCAGGTCAACACTTGTATTGTCTGTGTTGCAGCTGAACACTTGTATTGTCTGTGTTGCAGCTGAACACTTGTATTGTCTGTGTTGCAGGTGAACACTTGTATTGTCTGTGTTGCAGCTGAACACTTGAATTGTCTGTGTTGCAGCTGAACACTTGTATTGTCTCTGTTGCAGGTGAACACTGGTATTGTCTGTGTTGCAGGTGAACACTTGTATTGTCTGTGTTGCAGGTGAACACTGGTATTGTCTGTGTTGCAGGTGAACACTTGTATTGTCTGTGTTGCAGCTGAACACTTGAATTGTCTGTGTTGCAGCTGAACACTTGTATTGTCTCTGTTGCAGGTGAACACTGGTATTGTCTGTGTTGCAGGTGAACACTTGTATTGTCTGTGTTGCAGGTGAACACTGGTATTGTCTGTGTTGCAGGTGAACACTTGTATTGTCTGTGTTGCAGGTGAACACTTGTATTGTCTGTGTTGCAGGTGAACACTTGTATTGTCTGTGTTGCAGGTGAACACTTGTATTGTCTGTGTTGCAGGTGAACAATGCAGGGATTATAGCTCTGGGTGGCATTCAGAAGGCAACCCTGGAGCAGTACGACAAGCTCATGAACACAAATGTCAGGTAAGTTGGCTGGTGATGTGCTAGTTAGTCATTTGCTTGACCAGTCAGTGCTGAGAGGTTGAATCTTTCTGGCTGCTTGGTTGATGATTTCTCTTTCAGACTTAGCTCGTATACACAGTATTGACTGTTCTTCTTTGTTCCATATCCATTGCTGCCATAACCTTAAGCGCATTGAGTACTTTTTGGCATTTCACTACAACTTCTTCCACATGATCCCTGAAGGACAGCTTCTATTGAAAATGATACTGAGGTATCTCAGTTTGCTTTTCCTTTTGATGTTTCCTGTCATTAATTGTGAGACATAGAACAACAGCTCTGACATCATCGTAAAACAGCCGCAAGAGTTGATGACAACACCCATTTCTGCACACCAGTCAGTCACTTTGTTTACAGTTGCCTGTAGCGGACACCACAGGTATGCTCTGTATGCGCTTAATGTGGGGAACAGAACATACCTGTGGTGTCAACAGTTACCTGTGAATTTCAAATAATACCTATTTCACAAACCTCCATTGGTACAGACAGCCACACTTACCTTGTCAACCATCTCGGGCATATCAAAATGTACTCCGACACCCTCTGACCTCTGACACACTTACATATTTAAGTGAGCTAGCACACAACAGATAAGGAATAATAATATGGAAATGACATAAAGAGAGAAGCAGGAGATGGTGAAAGGTAGGAAGGTTTGCCATGTGTTAGATCAAGGTCTGTGCTTCGATGGATGATAAAGGGCAGGAAAAGAAGCAGACAACATTTGAGCCAGAAGTTAGGGACAAGAACCTAATCAACACAAGCCTAACACTGTCCTTATTGATTGTTTTTGGATGTCAGGGAATGCACATGGTACCGCTTGTCTTCCCTTGGTAACCAAATGGCAAGCATGAGTGTTCACAGTTCTGCTTGTTGGGATGCATTTCATGTAGGTAAATTGAAGGACATTATGATGTCACCACACTGATACAATATCTTGTACACATACTAGTCCAGCACAGTCAACTGTAGCCAGAAAGAAGCTGGATGTAGGGGCTAAATGTTTGAGATATCACAGTTGTGCTGTATGTGGACACAACACAATTTTTGTCAACTCATTTTAAATAGCGCCATCAAATGTGGAAGAAGAAATATGCTATTCTGTGTGGCAGACATTCTGAATTCTCCTGTAAACTGAAATTTCTTCTTATCCGTGAATTATTTCCTACTCAGAAAATTCTTTCCAATGCAGATATTCTTCCATACACTAACAGAAATTCTTCCTACAAACTGACATTCCTTGTTTTGCTCTAATGTTGTTCTGAGAAAAGTCCTTCAGTAAAGTTTTGTCCTGTCTCAAAGAAAGTCCTTCAGTAAAGCTTTGTCCTGTCTCTAAGAAAGTCCTTCAGTAAAGTTTTGTCCTGTCTCAAAGAAAGTCCTTTAGTAAAGTTTTGTCCTGTCTCAAGAAAAATCCTTCAGTAAAGTTTTTTTCCTGTCTCAAAGAAAGTCCTTCAGTAAAGTTTTGTCCTGTCTCAGAGAAAGTCCTTCAGTAAAGTTTTGTCCTGTCTCAAGAAAAATCCTTCAGTAAAGTTTTGTCCTGTCTCAAAGAAAGTCCTTCAGTAAAGTTTTGTCCTGTCTCAAGAAAAATCCTTCAGTAAAGTTTTTTCCTGTCTCAGAGAAAGTCCTTCAGTAAAGTTTTGTCCTGTCTCAAAGAAAGTCCTTCAGTAAAGTTTTGTCCTGTCTCAAGAAAAATCCTTCAGTAAAGTTTTGTCCTGTCTCAAAGAAAGTCCTTCAGTAAAGTTTTGTCCTGTCTCAAAGAAAGTCCTTCAGTAAAGTTTTGTCCTGTCTCAAAGAAAGTCCTTCAGTAAAGTTTTGTCCTGTCTCAAAGAAAGTCCTTCAGTAAAGTTTTGTCCTGTCTCAAAGAAAGTCCTTCAGTAAAGTTTTGTCCTGTCTCAAAGAAAGTCCTTCAGTAAAGTTTTGTCCTGTCTCAAAGAAAGTCCTTCAGTAAAGTTGTGTCCTGTCTCAAAGAAAGTCCTTCAGTAAAGCTTTGTCCTGTTTTAAAGAAAGTCCTTCAGTTAAGCTTTGTCCTGTTTTAAAGAAAGTCCTTCAGTTAAGCTTTGTCCTGTCTCTAAGAAAGTCCTTCAGTAAAGCTTTGTCCTGTCTCAAGAAAAAGTCCTTCAGTAAAGCTTTTGTCCTGTCTCAAGAAAAGTCCTTCAGTTAAGCTTTTGTCCTGTCTCAAGAAAAGTCCTTCAGTTAAGCTTTGTCCTGTCTCAAGAAAAAGTCCTTCAGTAAAGCTTTTGTCCTGTCTCAAAGAAAGTCCTTCAGTAAAGCTTTGTCCTGTCTCTAAGAAAGTCCTTCAGTAAAGTTTTGTCCTGTCTCAAGAGAAGTCGTCTAGTAAAGTTTTGTCCTGTCCCAAGAAAAGCCCTTCAGTAAAACTGTGTCCTGTCTCAAAGAAAGTCCTTCCAGGAAATAATCTAACAAGAATCCTGTGTTTCTCTGCAACCAGGTCCATGTTCCATTTGACCCAGCTGGCAGTGCCATATCTGATCAAAACCCAAGGAAATATTGTTAATGTTTCCAGCATCAATGGACTTCGAGCCGTAAGTAGTAGCAGTAGTAGTCACTTCTGGTCAGTTTAGGACTGTCATATTTACAGTAAGATATATGTATCTGGTCAGTTTGGGACTGTCAGATTTATAGCAACAGTAAATAGAGGATTAAAGTAAGGGTTTTGATTAGTTGTTAGAATTAGGAAAACCCAAGATTTTTACGAGGCTGCAAGACATGAAATTAACATGAGCGAGTGAAACCCCCATGGATATGTCATTGAACTTAGCGAGCATCCAAAAAATGAGGGGGGGGGGGCATCTGAGTAAAGACTGATTTAGTGACATGACCCCAGAACCGCGAGAGGTGTTAGCTGATCATCTGTTGAGAAGTTTACGTGGCTTGACAGCTGAGAGAAAAGCGATGCAGGTGTGTTCTGAATGTTGATTGTGTTCGGTTACATGCACTGAGAAGACACTGAGGGTTTGACTGTGTAATCTTAACTGAGCACAGTCAGAAAGTGTGTGAATAAAGTAAGTGGCTGTCAACAGATTATTGCTAGGCTCAGTGTGTAGAAGTTAGTAGCAGAAGGTAGAGGATGACTGGAAGAAGACTCTCGCAGCTCATGTTTGGTGAACATGAAAATATGGAACAGTATTAATGTTTGTGCTAGCTGAGGTGTGGAGGGTGTTGCCAGATTGGATTTGAGAGAACTTCTGTCTTATCTGCTATGTGAGCAATAGACAACAACCAGGTTCCTATACCAAGAAAATTATACAAAATAATGAAGCACAAAACATGAACTGTTTCAGCTGAAATACACAGATCCCACTGAGGCTTGTTGCTATGTAACTCTCAGTAATGGAAGTTTAAGAGTAATCAAATGATTAGCCAGATGTTGATGGGTAACGTGTTTGTTTATATCTTGTGGGCAGCCTTTACTTCCCAAAACATTTCCTGGCACTCATTTTTAGATTGGCTGACCTGAGAGCACAGGATGCTTTTAAAAGTCCACTTCACTGGGATATGAACACATTACCCCTGGGATGACAAGCAAGCATGCTAACCTGAGCCACCTCCCACTAGAAATCTACTTCTCCATTTATTTCTTCATTCATTTGTTCTTCTTTTTCACTTCCTCTTTTACTTCGGGAGGTGTAGATTCTGCTGCAGAGTTTTTCTGATCTTATTTTTCCATATTATTCTTGGCCTACCTTGTGCGCTATGTCCTTCTCCTATTTTGGTGTTTGCCATATGTGGTATGGCATCACAGTGACGTCTGCTACAAATAAGCACATATCTGATATGCTTGGTTCTCTATTAGTGATCAGACTGTCAGAACATCACTACTGTCATCCATTGGAGTAATTAACATGTTAGTCATTCAAGTTAGATCCTTTGTTAGAAACAGTATAAATAGTTCATTCTAACTTGTGAATTTGCTTCCTTCTTTTTCAGTTTGCAGGAGTCCTAACATATAGCATCTCCAAACATGCAATTGATGCATTCACAAGATGTGTGGCTTTGGGTAATCATTGACATGAATCTGCATTTATTCTGTTTCTTGCTTTTTTTTTTTAACCTATTTCAAATTCTTATTCAGGTATTCTTTATATTCTCTGATTCACAAACATGCTAATGTACATGTACAGGTATTTGTTCCTGTTAGTGAGAGATCCAGGCTTATCAAATAGGTGCAACTTATCATTTAATATTCAATTTATGAGTCAGGTTATTTTCACGGCCCTCCAGCCACATTCATAAGTGCTCAGTCCCACCATCCCTCCTGGATTTACAGTGGCAGTCATGCTGGTTAACAAAACTTCTCGTATATCTGGTGTGCCTTTCATGTCTGGCAGTGTTGATCTTTACTTCCAACTCCTGCATTTTTAGCAGTGATCTGGATATTCGAACAGATCATCCTTTCTCTCTGAAGTGTTAGTGTCATCCAAAGGATGGTCATCTGCAGGTATTGCAAAGCCAGTCAGTCTATCATCTTTTTCATTACCAACAACACCTACATACCCTGCAGCAAAGATTAAGGTATCACAATGAACACTGAAGTTTTACTGTGACTCAATTTACTGTCTACGCACACAGCCTGTCTCACCATGCTGAATCATGCTCATAGTAGTACACACACATACACACACACAGATATACGCACGTGCACGTGCAAATATGCACGCGCACATGCACACGTGGGAATAGTCCTGTGATTTCTGCCACATAAAAGCTTGTGTAATGTTTTTGCAGTCAGCCATATTACTTTCAGGTCAAAAACTAAACAATTTAGTAACAAAACACACAGAACCTGGACTAGCAAGCAAGATGTAGAAAATGATACATTTGGGGAGATTATATCAAAGGATAGACAGACATCTGAAAGCGAGTATACAGCCAGGGAAGGGCACCTGGTGAATAAATTGTGATGGATTTATTGAAGAAGAAACAAATCAGTAGGCTGTGTTCCTTCTTGTAATGTTCATGTTGCTTGTAACTCTTACTGAATTTGAACAAAGAAGACACAAGCAACAGATTGTGCCATCTGTTGTTTGTGTGTGTCTTCTTTGTTCAAATTCACAATAGGGAACATTACTTTGATCTTACTGTACTATTATGTCCAGATTTGGCAGACAAGAAAGTGAGGGTGAATTGTGTCAAGTAAGTGTTTAGTTTCTAAAACATCTTGTAGTTGCTGTTGTTATTGTATATTATCATCAGACTAGAATTAAACTTGGTAGCATAGATGCAGTGTTTATTTATGTAAAATGTATTGTTGACACTCTTCTTAATATAGTTATAAAACTAGTATTTACTGAAATTTCATTTGTCTGAAACCATTAAAATAAAAGTGACTATATTGTTGGTAAAGTACTGTAAAATAGTAAAATAAGAGGCACAAGCAAACTAAAATCTGTCAGGCCTGAGGTATTGGTTCTTCCTCGCATGTATTCTCACTTTCCTCCATACCAGTATTTTCTGCTTGCTCTTGTCTCTTCATTTCTGTCAGCCCAAGTAGCCATTTTTTTATCAAACTCCTCTAGCATAAGTCTCCAGCTTTTAGCAGCTGCTTCCTCTCGGAGTTGCCACTTTCTGGCATTTTCTTCTCGCTTAAGTTGCCTCTTTATCCATCCATCTTCTTCCTTCTTTGCTAGATCCTGGCAACGAGTGCGTCCCACTCATCCCTTTTGTAACAAGATGATTAAAAAAGTAACAGGGAAAATTGACCACCGCAGTCTTCTTCTTCTTTTTCTTCTTCGCGTTCACCAGCTGTAAACTCTGGCGGAAAGTTCTGGTTGTTCATCCACTTCTGCACTGCAGTTCTATTCCAGAACCTGAGTGTTGCATCTGCATCCGTTTTACAGATCTGACTCATTTGTACGCAGACTGCTGGTTCCTTGCCTCTCAGACAGATGCACTCTGACTTTAAAAGAAGCTCCCAATTAGTTGACTCTTATGACATGATTTGGGTAGGCAGTGGGTCTATTCTTGTTTTCCTTATAATAGGGCCCCGGAACCCCCACAGGGAGATCACAGCAGTAAAGAGAATGTTACCGAGATAATGCAATTAATCAATAATTGCTACTGCATAGCAATAATTAATCATTGAATAAAATAAGCAAAAGTAACTGATAAGATGTCAAAACAAAATGCTATACAATGTATTTATCAAATAAAATGTGCAAGCAACTAAATCATCAAATCATCAACTCTAACTAAGCATTACTGGTTAAACAATGATTAAAGTTCATTAAATGTTCAGTGGTAGACAGTTACCTCATGTGATACCATAAATTAATTACTTTTAAAGTTATTCTTAAATAATCTTCCCCAATTACAAATTACAAAGTTTGATTTTAGTCCAAGAACTGGCTGAAGAGTTCAAGTGTTATAACAAAATCCTGTGAAGTTTAAAATGGGCTAGGAGAAATTGGCTGTTCGATCCCTGGCCAGCTGGCCCAGTTGTCGCCAATCCCACTTGTATATACACTTATGTGGTGAGTGGTTTGAATCCTAACACTGTACACCCAGGTGTGAAACTGGACTGATATCTCAGCTATATTGATCCTAGACACAGTCCTGGATAACCAAGAAAACAGCAAAAAGTGGCTCGTAGAAAAAAATTTAAGTATCCGTACTTGTATCCGCAGGAGTATGAACAGGGATAGTTAGATATCCAGATAATTCCAGATGAGAATACCAAGATACACAGTTAACCCCTCGACTTTCTCCTCTCCTGGTATTAGTTTATAACAAAAGCCTCCGTGTGGGTTCCGGGGCCCCATTGTGGGGCAAACAAGAATAGACCCACTGCCTGCCCGTGTGGGTTCCGGGGCCCCATTGTGGGGCAAACAAGAATAGACCCACTGCCTGCCCAAAAGCATGTCGTAAGAGTCGACTAATTGGGGAGCTTCCTTTGAAGTCGGAGGGCATCTGCCGGAGAGGCAAGGAACCAACACTGTATTCAAGAGAATGAGATCTGTAAAACTGATGCACACGCAACAATCAGGTTCTGGAGCAGGACTGCAGTTCAGTAATGGACGAGCAACCAGAACTTTCCGCCAGAGTGTACAGCTGGTGAACGCAAAGAAGAAGAAGATAACAAAAGCTCCCATCAACTGATTTACATATAGGTTAGTTGAAGTAAACTAGTGTACACAAAAAAACTTGAACCTAAGTACACAACTTACCCAGCTATGGTTTAGAACTTGACATAAAGTTTAATAGTTCAGTCTAAAGCCAAATAAATTGAGTGGTATTGATTTGCAGTGTTGAAAACAAGAATAGGATGCTATGAGGATAATGCATCAGTCAATTTATTCAATAGGCATATGAGAGTGATGATGTTCTGACGAAAGTAATTCTTATGAATAAAAATTGTACGTATCTCAAAGAATGTAACCTGAGACAGATCTCTGTATGAGACTGCCTAACTTTGCCTAGCCCTGTTGTCCTCACTGCTTCAATCAGGTTGTAGACTGAATCATCTGCTTCCGATACGTGCTGACGGGTCCTTGCCCCAATGGGAACTAGGAAATTTCCAGCAATTTGCCAAAAAGACTTACACAGCTAGAATTACTTTCTAGTGTAGCTCTAGGTATGCTGCTAGCAGTCTGATGTGAGTGTGAGGCTTCCCACTGTATTCATCTTTCCCCTTATCTCAGTTAGCAGTTTGGCTCTTCTCACTGTCTGTATCAAACTCTTTCCTTCAGGTGAGCCTTTAAGCCCCACCCCTGAAAGTTCCTTCATGCGATCATTATCTTTTCTTGTGGCTGTCAATCAACTGACTGCCCACCTACTGATCACACTTTCTAAAGTGAATCCCATCTAGTTCTAGCCAGTGTCAATACAAGTTGTGACAAACCAGTTAAGTGGAGCCATCATGTCTGGACTTTCCCCTTGCCCAGGTAGTTTCCCTGAGTTGGCCGGTTCAGAAGGGGTGATTATGTAACCTTTTTGTCGCCTCTAGTTTTAAAAACAAAATCTACAGCCACCATGTCTAAGCTTGGTCATTGTTATCTGGATTCTTAACACCTCACGTCTGTGCAAGAGTCTGAGTGGTTGACTTCAACTATGGTCAAAGGGACATTAGTTGGCTTTGTTCTGGTCAGTCTAGATTTATGTTACAGCCCAGGAACATATTTTCCTAAAACTTAAAATACATTTGAAAAAAATAAAGTTGAGGAAAGTGTCATCACTAAGATTTACAGCTCCAGCAATGAAATATAAGCTCGAATGTTATCATCATCTTTAAGTATTTCAGTCCTTGGGCTGATCATTAAACATCTATAATGATGTCTATGTTTCATTAACATGTATTTTTGACTACTACTTAAGCTTTTCTTTAGCTTTTTTGCTATCTACCTCACCCCACTCCCCCCTCTTTTTTTGTAGTTCTGTTGTTGTTGCTGCTGCTGCTTCAACCCCTGTGTACTGAAGAGAAATTTAAACCATATCAGTAAAACAGATGTAAATGTTAACATGTTTGTTTTTGTTTCTCCTTCCCAGCCCTGGTGTCACACACACAGAGCTGCACAAACGAGCTGGCCTGAGCGAGAAGGAATATGAAGCAGTAAAATTCAGCTTTTGACCTTTTCTTTAAACAATGAGAACCAAATAATCTCTATGTCTATTTGTCTGTCGTTTTTTCCATTTGTCTATTTTTGAGCCAGTAAGTCTTTTTCATTTCGAGAGATGGGGTGATCATCATCATCGTCAGTTTCCATTTCTGCTGTTAAGACGTTGTGGGGAGGAATAGTTTGTGATTCATTACTTGATGGTAAGCATAGGCCATTGTCATTGTTTTTCTTCTTGTCTTTTGTTTAGGTTTCTTCTGCTTTTTAAAGTGGCTTTTTCCTGTGTCAATTTTTTTTAAACCTCATGTCAGAGGATATACTGAAGGGTAAAGTAGAGGACAATAAAGACAGATGTTTGGAGCTCTTTGTTTAGATGGCACATGATGATGGTGATATAAAATGTGCATTAAAGCTTTGGGAAGATACTTCCTCTTCATCTTCTTCATTCACCAGTTGTAAACTCTTGCAGAAAGTTCTGGTTGTTTGTCCACTTCTGGACTTCACTCTCATTCTAGAATTTGAATGTTGCTTGCACATCAGTTTTACAGTTGTGACTTATTTGTGTGCAGATGGATGGTTCCTCCTATCTCAAGTTGATGTACCCTGACTTCGAACAAAATGCCCATCCTGTATGCTGATCAGGCTGATGCACCTGTTTCTAGGATGACCTCAGAGATGTAGAGTCAGATCCTGACCTGTATGAGCTATAGTTCTGGGCACTACCTCACAGAGATGTAGAGACAGGTTCAGACTTGTATGAGCTGTAGTTCTGGTGCACTACCTGACTGAGATGTAGGGACAGATCCTGACCTGTATGAGCTATAGTTCTGGGCACTACCTCACAGAGATGTAGAGACAGGTTCAGACTTGTATGATCTCTGGTTCTGGTGCACTACCTGACTGAGATGTAGAGACAGGTTCAGACTTGTATGATCTCTGGTTCTGGTGCACTACCTCACAGAGTTCGGTATCTCTGAATTCCTGATCACATACAGCCAGCATATGATGACTGATTACTTCTTATTCTAGTTCAGGCCGTATGTCATCATGCCATATGTTATGCCATATGTCGGCATCCCTGTCCACAGCCTTTTGCTTGTTTGCTGCCCATCATTTCTGATACATATGTTCCTCCTAGTCATGATAGTCTACCCCTGCCTCTCTTCTCCTGTGACTCTTCTGCTGGCACAATGTCCTGCAGTTGTCTGTTTTTCATGATGTGCCCACAGAATGTGGGTAGTTTTCTTCTGATGCAGATAAAAAGGTGAATAAGTAAACTTATCTCCAGGCATCTTCATTTCTTGTATGCCCTGGCTTTTCTTGTCAGTTTTATTTTACAACGGCATCCCATCAGCTTCCCTATCATTTCTCACAAATCGGCAAGCTGTTCGCGAATGTCTGTCTGTCTGTCTATGCATGCATTTGTATGTATGTATATATGTGGGTGTGTGTATGGATGTGTCTGTATGTATGTATTCATGTGGGTGTGTATATGTGTGTAAGTGAGTGAGTGGGTGGGTGGGCATGCAGATGTGGATGTGTCTGTATGTATGTATTTATGTGTGTAAGTGAGTGAGTGGGTGGGTGGGCATGCAGATGTGGATGTGTCTGTATGTATGTATTTATGTGTGTAAGTGAGTGAGTGAGTGGGTGGGTGGAATTGCAGATGTGGATGTGTCTGCACATGCTTATGTGCATGCATTTTACTACCCACGCTTTTGTGTTTTTTCCTTGATATTCATAATATGCATATTTTTAAATGAACGTAACAAGCTTTTTTGATAAAATACAACTGCTCTGTGAAAGACGGGTGTTTGGAAGGGCGAATGTAAGAGAGGCCTGCATGCCCAATTTGTGACCCTTTGAAAAATAAACTTCGTTCGTTCGTTCACTTTCCGTCATTAGAATCGACTCTCTTTGTGGTGCTTGGCTGCAAACTCTGGCAGAAAGTTCTGGTCGTTCTTCCATTTCTGGACTTTAGTCTTGTCCCAGAAACTGAGTGTTGTGTGCACATCCATTTGACAGGTCTGGCTTATTTGTATACCGATTTTGTTAGTTCCTTGCTTGGCAAGCAGATGCACTTTGACTGTGAAGGCAACCCCTAATGATTCCACTCTTATGACATGCTTGTTAGGAGGCAGTGGGTCTCTTCTTTCATTTCCCCACACAATGGGAATCTGGAACCCATACAGGGAACTTCATCTGACAGTGATATGTTGCATAGAATATTCTTCTTCCTGTGAAGTGCTATTTGTGCTTGAACCAGTCTACATGTCATCAGTGGCTGTTGACTGTCTTCAGAATCCAATCATATCTTTTTGGAGAGGCTGATAGATCTCGTTTACATGTCCATATCATTGCATTTTCCATCTTTTCACTGTTGGTAAAAGAGGTTCATGATTGCAAATGTGTTGAGTAATGATACAGTGAATTTTTTCCTTTGTAACATTGTCTTTGTGCAGTATACATTTCTTCCTTTAACATCTTTAATGCATGAACTTACTATACAAGTAACTTTTTTTTTTAACCTCACAGTATCTGAAACGTGCCAGATTTACTCACGCTTTGGGAAGATATGGAGAGCCTGAAGAAGTGGCTGATTGTATTGCCTTCCTGGTCTCGGATCTTGCATCATTTATCACCGGAGCAAGCATACCTGTTGATGGAGGCAGACATGCTCTGTGCCCCAGCAGTTTATCTAGGGAAGAAGGAGGTGTCTCAGCCATGGCTCAAAGTGTCGAAGTTTAGTATTTATTTAAATAGATGACACAGCTTTGTGTTAAGTCCAAGTCACTTACTGTCAGTTCCAAGTTCAACTGTTTATCTTGTTGCAGGAACGGAAATGACATTTGTTTTCCTTTTACCATTGCTGTTGTAATGATCTTTGACATGTATTGAAATATTTATTTTGGGGAATTTACTTTGTAAATCATCAATTCTGATGTGTGGGAAATTTTGATGTGTGTTCATTTATACAGAAGAGTTGTATAAACTATACAGAAACTATGTCTTTTGCAGTATGTTTTATAGTCCATGCCATGTGGCGATCATGATTTCTATAGACAATTTTCTTCATTGCATTCTCACAGAACATTCTTTGCACTATACACCCAGTACAAGTAAAGTAAAATGTAAAGGGCCTTTTTTTATGCCTTTAGATGTATTGAGCACATAGGGCTCTAGACCCATCTTGACTTCCCCGGACTTTGCCTGGTACCATGTAAGGCTGGGTCGACCTGGAGGTCAAGGTCATTTTTGCAAAAGTCTGGCTCTGTCAGAACCTGAACCCACAACCTTGACCTATACAGGGGAGTAGCTACCAGCTACACCATGGTGGCTGACTTATACTCACAGTAGGTTGCCTTGATTTCATTCAACTTTGAGATTGTCCATGATGGTAGACTGTTTTAGACTGCACCTCTGGCAACTGCCTTATTCTTTTAATATATGTGCAAGATGTTGGATTTTACCAGGACTGCTGTGTGATTGTTCACAAGAAACAGTGATGGGCATTTTATGGTGTTTTTCACAAGCACATATTCTGTAAAAGTTATAAGGTGATCCATTGACTATGAAGTTGGAGTTGTGACTGTTTACCTGATAACTAATCCACCAAATTCTTTCTTCTGTAAAGAATACCTGTCTTTGCAGCTTTCATATAATTGTTTACCCATTTGCTGGCCGTCCATGATTGAGTAAGATATTATTCATTGGAATTTTACTAATAACTTTGTCCACATTTCTAGTGAAATACAAGTTTTGACCCTGACTGGGAAGTAGAAAGTTGAAACTATGAATCTGGGACTAGCTACATGGAAGTGATAGACTTGCTGGCTGTATCAGAAATCTTTACAAATTTAAAATCACGACACAACGAAACAAAATGTTTTGTAAAAGGTACAAACTCGCCATCTTAGTATTTCAGATTAATCATCTTGTGCTGTCTGGGGATCTCATTACACTTACAACAACATCTGAATTCATTTTTTATCTAGAATAAAAGTCAAGGAAAGAACACAAAGATGTTTTCTTTCTATTTGTTTAGAAATTCACCAATAACTATTAGAATTAATGTGTGTAATTTATTCCCTATGTATGCTGTTATATTGTTGCAGTGCTACCAGTTCTTGTTTTCCCTCAGACTAAAAAAGATATCACAGCTCAGAAAGCATCAGTTGTAGAGTTCAATCTTTCTGGAAACTTAACTGTATATAGTCCAGCTTTTGCTGGCTTCATCATGATGTCCATTTTGTTTGTAGAAAATCACTGTTATCACTCCAGCAAGCCTCTCAGTACATTACAAATTCCACTGCCTTTTGTTTTATCATCAAAATGAGTTGACCAAACTATCTCTCGATTGTATTTTTTAACTTGTGGCATTTTAATATTCACCTTGTTCCAGAATTCACTAATTTTGTTGGTTCACATAAAAGCATAGTAAACAATTCTAGCGCTGTTTCAGTTTTATACATTTCAGTTTTTCTCTTCTCATAATGTTGTCAAAAAATGAGAACAGCCACTTTTGAGATATTTATGACATGTTGTCTTTCCATCTCAGCCTCAATGAGAACAGCCACTTTGAGATATTTATGACAAGTTGTCTTTATTTCTCAGCTTCAATGAGAGTAGCCACTTTGAGATATTTATGACATGTTGTCTTTCCATCTCAGCCTCAATGAGAGCAGCCACTTTTGAGATATTTATGACATGTTGTCTTTCCATCTCAGCCTCAATGAGAACAGCCACTTTGAGATATTTATGACATGTTGTCTTTCCATCTCAGCCTCAATGAGAACAGCCACTTTTGAGATATTTATGACATGTTGTCTTTCCATCTCAGCCTCAATGAGAACAGCCACTTTGAGATATTTATGACATGTTGTCTTTCTTTCTCAGCTTCAATGAGAGTAGCCACTTTGAGATATTTATGACATGTTGTCTTTCCATCTCAGCCTCAATGAGAGCAGCCACTTTGAGATATTTATGACATGTTGTCTTTCTTTCTCAGCCTCAATGAGAACAGCCACTTTGAGATATTTATGACATGTTGTCTTTCTTTCTCAGCCTCAATGAGAGCAGCCACTTTGAGATATTTATGACATGTTGTCTTTCCATCTCAGCCTCAATGAGAGCAGCCACTTTGAGATATTTATGACATGTTGTCTTTCTTTCTCAGCCTCAATGAGAACAGCCACTTTGAGATATTTATGACATGTTGTCTTTCTTTCTCAGCCTCAATGAGAACAGCCACTTTGAGATATTTATGACATGTTGTCTTTCCATCTCAGCTTCAATGAGAACAGCCACTTTGAGATATTTATGACATGTTGTCTTTCTTTCTCAGCTTCAATGAGAGCAGCCACTTTGAGATATTTTTGACATGTTGTCTTTCCATCTCAGCCTCAATGAGAACATTCATAATAACTGTTGTCATGGCTTTAAGAGAGTGATGTGAGAGTTGCACCATGGAAGAGATTGTGAACTCACTTGATAATGTTCCCACAGACAGCAAGGGCTGCCCTTCATTGTGGAGGTAGCACACCATTTTTTTTCTTTAAAAAAGTATTAGGTAAGCACCATATACCAAGTGTGTCCTAGCGGGTGGAAAAGAGTCCTTGACCTTTTCTGTTATTGACTTTTACTCAGAATCTAAACTAACAACATTATTTATATGAGAAAGATAATGTAATTATTTTGATATTGTAATTATCACTTTAAAAAAAAATCTTTTTATGCAGCATAATTATGTGCATTAGTTTATTTGTTAAATTAACCATGTTTTCTTTACATTTATCTTAAATTTAATTAACATTTGGTTGCAGAATGGAAATATGAGATGAATCTCCCCTTAGTCTTATGAAATATTGTTGCAAATGTTTTCTTTGTTTACACACACACACACACACACACACAAACTTGTTGGTGTTAATATTTTCTGTCAAACCAACATTCCTTACCTAAAAAAATAAACATGTTATTATATCCAGTTAAATCAGTTGTAATCTGAACATTCCAAGTCACGGCCAAATGCAGAATACTGTTGGAGATTACTGATTGACTGTATGAAGCCGAGGAGGGAAGGGGAAACCTACTTGTTTTTCTCTCAATAAAGTCAATAAGAAAAACTCCTATGGTAAATGATGGGTGGAAGATCTCAGTGTTGGCCTCTACTATGGTTTAAGGATGTGTACAAATAGGACATGAATGATACAGGCAGTGATGTGGATTCATAGGATCAGTAGACCAAAGCATGGAGGTCATAATTAGAATGGGAGTTGGAACAAAGATTGCAGACAAGTTATGAACTAAGCTTCCTGTCAAATATAAGTAATGGCAACCAAATCTCATGCACTTATTGTGGAAGATTGTTCTTAGCACAAGATGGTCTTGCCAGTCACATCCATCTTGGCCATTGGCTGTGATTTACACACCTTCCAAAAGCACAATGGATCCTGTCATCTAAAAAGTCGGAAAGTGGCAAAAATATTGTTTCAATAGATGCACATCCTTTTCACAGTGTAGGTGACCTAAACTGAAGGCTATTGCATTAGGTTTGAGTTAAACCCAGTCCTCCAGGGTAATAGTAACCAACCAAACAGCAACCAGCAGGTCAAATCAACCAATCAGACAGTGTCCAGTTGTCAATTAACCAACCAAACTGCAAGTCAAATCAACCAATCAGACAGTGTCCAGTTGTCATTTAACTAACCAAACAGCAACCAGCATGTCAAATCAACCAACCAGCCAAGTGTCAACTAGCAGGTCAAATCAACCAACCAGCCAAGTGTCAACTAGCAGGTCAAATCAACCAACCAGCCAAGTGTCAACTAGCAGGTCAAATCAACCAACCAGCCAAGTGTCAACTAGCAGGTCAAATCAACCAACCATCCAAGTGTCAACTAGCAGGTCAAATCAATAAACCAAACAGCAGCCAGCTAGTCCTATACACTTGCCTATGCCTATATAGGTGTTTCGTCCTAAAAAGGACAAAATTTTTTGTTATTTGAAGCCCCACCCTGGCTTTTGCCAGGGGCCGCAATATAGGCAGGCCATAAATATGGCCAATTGTCTGAACGCGGTTTCTGGGACCTCTCCATGGCGATCCTCATCCACATGGTGGCACTTTGTGTCATCAGGTGTTTATCGCTTGTGTGATGTCCTGGTGGGGTAGAAAGTCAGTCAGTCAGTCAGCTAGTCCATCAACCAACAAATAACAGAGTTGATCCAGCTATGTCATTTTCAGATGAATCAGGAAATAATCCTTTTTCTTCAACAACTTGGTCAGTGTAGAGTGATGTATGTGACCAGTGTAGTCGGTCACAGACTGTTTGTGTGAAATTATGTCACTCTCATTGATATGTGAAATTGTGTCACTCTCATTAATATGTGAAATTATGTCACTCTCATTGATATGTGTGAAATTATGTCATTCTCATTGATATGTGAGATTATATCACTCTCATTGATATGTGAAATTATGTCACTCTCATTGATATGTGAAATTATGTCACTCTAATTGATATGTTAAATTATGTCACTCTCATTGATATGTAAGATTATGTCACTCTCATTGATATGTGAGATTGTGTCACTCTCATTGATATGTGAGATTGTGTCACTCTCATTGGTATGTGAAATTATGTCACTCTCATTGATATGTGAGATTATATCACTTTCATTGATATCTGAAATTATGTCACTCTCATTGATATGTGAGATTATGTCACTGTCATCGACTCCTTACCTAT